TCACAATCCAAATACAATTGGGTAAGTGTTTAAATGAAGCAGAGAAAATCCACTTAATAGATTTAAGCATATCCTTTAGTTGCCACAAACTCCCTGTCATACCGTTTATCCTGCCTTGCCGCCGCATGCTTATGTTTTTCATTTGTGTGCCAACAAAATCCTTTCATGTACAGATTTTATGTGCTGTGTGCCGCTGCTTCTGAAGGTTGTTTGCAGTCTTCTTTTTGGCATTTCCAGGATTCTTATATGCAAATTTATTGGCATTCACTCAATGGTGCCTCCCCCCCCAAACAGAGGCAAACAGAAGCAAAATGGGTCACCACATGGGGAGTCGTCGTCGACTCATTTGTGGCACTTGTGTATCTAAATTTGCATTTTCCACTGATGTGAATATGAGAGATGAAACCAAGCAGGAGCTTTACGGGGAAACTTCAATCAGGAAAAGCCCTAGAGACAGAGTTTCTTAACGTTTTTGCCACTTCCCGGTTCGCTGTACGGGGCTATCATCATGTGCCCCCGATAGGGCCAAGCACTTAAGGCAATTATCATGGCCATATTTGGCCCACACTCTGGCCCTGTCTTTCGCTCTCTGCGCTGCCAAAAATGAACTGAAACTTTAATTTCATTTATCTTATCCCCCGGTTCCCTACACTCCCCCTCTCTTCCCCATGGATCGCCCTCCTCCTGTCGGCCCTTGGGGTCATGGAGCAATATAATGCATATTGTGCTGCTGCTTGCCACCGAATGCACAGCCAAAGGGGCAGGCAGTAGCGAACATGGAGCAGCTGCTCCTGATAAAACTTCAGAAATGTAGGAGGAAGCCACCATGCCACCATGCAACCATGCAACCATGCCACATGTGTGAGTGGAGCGTAGAGAGTGGAGCATGGAGCTTGTAGCATGGAGTGGCGTGTGTGGAGAGTGCCTCAATTTGCGTCTGGCGTCTTGGGCAGCGCTTCTGCCTGCTGCTGCCACACTATCTGCTGCATGCTACTGCTACCAGAAAAGGGTTTCTTTTTACCTTCAACAAGTTGGGGTACTGTGATTCTGTCTAGGAATTTGTAGGGAATAAAAGGAAGTTTATTCCTTTCGGGCTCTTGTACTTTTTATTAAAGAAAAACTGCCTAAATTTGAAGGAAATTGATGAAGTACCCCTTTGGCTTTAGAGGGTATATACGAAATATTATATACCATGTGATAGTAAAAAAAATAATAGGAATAATAGGTTGGTAAAGCATTTTCTTTGTGTTATTTTCATTAAGATAATTACCATAAAAACGTAAAAATTTAGGTGGAAAATTAATTAAAATATGATTGAAATATCAGATTTAATTTCTTTTAATTCGCATTTATATTCAAGGGTATCTCTAACTTCGTTGTCCCCAAAACCATTCAAATTTTCCTTAACATTTTCCTTCCTTTTTTGGAAGTTTTTTTTTGCGGGAATGAAATTTGCGTTGTATGTAAAAATGTTATCGCGTTTGCTCCGACGCTTGTCGGATAAATATTCAACATATCCTACGAGGCAAATCCCCAGCACCCGCCCACCCACTGCCACTCGGCCTTCCCAGCTGCGCCTCACCCACCATGCCTGTAGACGGATGTCGAGGGACGGGGAGGGGACAGTCAGCCACTCAATGGCCCCGTAATTGGGGCAACGTTCCACTGTGGCAACTGTAATTGTTTTGTTGTTGAATTTTCGCGCAACCCTCTTGGCCTCTCAGTGTGTGCCTTCTGCCCCTGCCCCCGCTGCCCCTTTAATGATGGTGGGGGTATAACAATAATTTTCCACTCTTTTGTTGAACATGGTCGAAAAACATTTGGTGCCTTGCATGTTGATTTTTCCCGGACCTTTTCCAGCCATCATCGGAGTGTGTTTGGTTGGGTAGGGAGGGGTGAGGGTAGGAAAAATCAACACAATGCTTGACCCCATCCCGCCATCTCTCATGGGGCACATTTTGCACTGATTGTTGTTTGGTCAGTGGCTATATCTATCTCTCTCTCTCTCCTTTATCTGCATCTGCCGAATGCAGATGGAGAGATACCAGCCATCCATCCATCCATGCACCTGTTTTAATAACTCAATTTTTATGGCTACAGGTTGTATCCGCAGCAAGGAGACGACTCCCGACTCCTTTCTATCCTTTTGGCCAATATTTTTTGCTGTATGGCAATGCCCGATGTTCGATGATTAATGCGAATTTCTATTCTCCCAAGTGGATTGGGCGAGCGCGCATTCGTTGCCCCCCCACCCCGAAAAAAAAATTCATTTCATAATTCATCTGTAAAATCTTTTAGGCCAGAGATTGAGACTGGGTATTCTGACCGGCTCTGACTCAGAGAAATGGCATAAAAATGTCCATAAAAACGTTTTATTACCATTTGCACAATCCTTATCCTCATTCCCATAGACATTTGGCCATAGCCTCCATTTCCATTCCCATTCTCATGCCTTTTCAGAGTTTTCTCTTTCCACCCTGCCAAAGTTATATTTTTTTCTCTTCTAAAGTTCCGCTCTTGCCTCCTCTCTGTCTCTGATTTGCTTATTAACGTGGCTCGAGTGTGTCATAAATCTCACTAATACAGATACATGCGAAGATGTGTGCCTCTTGTTTCAATTTCCTTGCAAGATAAAAAAGATTTTCATGCCCCAATAAAAGAGGTGCGTATACGCAATCATCAGGGGATGCCGCATGCAACAGATGCATCTCAGCAAAGGCAGACACACAAATCTCTGTGAAGCTACATCTCCCAAAGGTGCACTCTTGCTCGAATGCAGAAACGAATGCATATCCATTGGGCCATAATTCATTCAAACGATCGATCGATGACAATCGTCGATTTTGTCCCCCTTCAGCGCGACAGAGCGACAGAGGAATCGCCTCAGGAATGGGAATCCCAGAATCGAGAATCTCCAATGCCAAAAGATCAATCGATGGGGCAGAGCGGATGGTAGAGCCAAGCAGATGCAGCACAAATGTGCAATTGGGGATCAATCCACACAGAGAGCAGAACAGCAGAACAGCGAATCTCTCTTTCGCTCTCCCTCCGTCGTTGAGCCATAAATTTGTGACTGAATTTTCTGTAATTTCTATTTTACAACCAAAGCTGCGGTGGCGGCGGCGGCATTCTGCGCGCATGGGTACTCATACGGGTATTCATACTAGCATTCGTGAATAGAGTGGCATTCCATCTGCCATTCGTATCCATCAGATACGGCGATGCCAGCTCGATGCCCATCAAATGCAGCTTTTTGCGGGTAAAAATATAGAAAATATTTACAACATACAACGCGTCGTATGAGCGATGTTTATTTAATGGACGGCAGGCATACAGGAGGCAGCCTTCCGCTGCATTTGCATTTTTGGGGGCACGTTAGATTTAACATTTTTCCCCCATTTTTCAGCTATACATATAGTGATGCATATATAATGCCTGCCACCGACTGTTTGCCATTTGAGTGATTCGCAGTGGGCGTGGCCTTGCCTCTCGGACACCAAATTTATGCATTTTTCAATGCCATTACTCAGCTGTTGCTCCCGAGGCGATGTATCTCGACCCACCAATAGATCTATCTATTGGTTCGATCGATCGATCGATTCTCCCTCTTAAATGCTACCAAATTTAATTTGAAAATTATGTGGTCTTGTGGTTTTGGGGTTTGCAATGTTTGACCGTATTCTTATTGGCTTTTATGAGCACAAATTATTTATTATTTGCCGCTTAATTTGCTTCCGAACTACGACTCGACTCTGAATGCGGCTGCGATAACGCTTTGAGCGATTTTCCATGCCACAGTTGGTGCGGCGGCTGCTACGGAGGCCACTTGGCTTTCGATTTTTAATTTCGTTTGCATGCAACAGGCACTGGCAGCGCCACTGCCATTGGGGCAACCTCTACCTCTGCTACCAGGTGGTAATTGCCCCCAAATCGTGTCTAATTACAGCTGCTGCTAGGGGCCACATGGTATGGGGCTATACATACGAGTACAGTGCCTGCAAATAGGTGTTTATGGCCGATAGAAAAGTAATTGCATTTCCATGGGGGGTTTCACTTTCTATTCATCAACAAAATGCTTTAAAGGAGTGCCTGGATTTAGAGTTGGTTTATGCCTGTAAAAGGTGTTTACAAATCATGCAAATATGCCTTTTGTTTAGGGAAAAATTTGAACAATTAATAAAGCAGATTTTCAGGGTAATATTATGGAAAAAATAGACTCGATTCAGGGATCATATATTGTATTTGGCAGTGAGTGGAAAAGTTATTTGCAGATCTTTCAAGGCATCATCAGAATCTCTTATTAAATCTGAAAAAAAAAACCCTGATTATACCCTGCCTCAAGACCAAGACTCTCTAATGATCAACCATTAAGTTCCGTTTTCGATTGAACAGCAGCCGCAGTATCTTTCAAAGAAAACTTTGCTTAAAGAATCGGAAATCATCAAAGCTTCTTTTTGGATCAAAGAAAATCCTTTCCCATGGAAAAATCCCTTTTTCATGGGATTTCCATTTTCCTTTCTCTGCCAATAAAATTTGTTGCCAAATTAAATTTCCGATTGAGTGTCGCCTCAGAAATGTGCTTCAAAGGGGCAACGACTGCCTCAGGGGCCTGGGCAGGGGCAGTGAGTGAGGGGCATTCAAATAACTATTGCACTGAATGTGCAGACTATTGTTAAGCACTGTATACTGTACTGTGTGTCGTTTCGGTCTGTCGTTTTGCAGTAGTTCTTCGACAACAAACAAGATTTCTGTTCCGTTTTGTTCCGTTTTTCCCTCAGATCGAAAGCAAAAATTCAATAAAATTGCAATTTTTTTCGTTTTGTTTTTATTTTGTTTTTTGAGGCGCTTCCGGGCTTTTTGTTTCTCCTTCCTCTTGCCTTTGTTGCATGCCTCACTGGTTGTATGTGTATGTATATGTGTATATTTACTTTTGCCACCAACTGTGGCAGTTGGCATTTTTATTGTTGCTGGTCTCTTGATAGCCTTGTGATATTTTTGGTTTTCGCTTTTTTTTTTTTATTTTGAGAGATTTGCGCCGCTTTGTCGGCCATGATAAATTCACAAACAATTTTCAGGTTTCGTCTGCGGAGATCTTTGCAGCCGCAGGACACAAAAATACCAGATACCCCAAGAGAGGCAGGGAGAGCCTGGGCCGTATTGCTGTTGAGTCAACACTGTGGCAGCAGGCACCATGGCACCCAGTAGTGGCAACAGTTCTACTTCGATTCTGCTGCTGCTGTTCATTGGCACTCTGCCCGCTGCATCCCCGTGGAAATATTTTATGTTAGAACCAAACAACTTTGACAGTAAACAGAAGGCAAAAGGGACCACACCTTGACTTCTTTGGGTTTTCTCTTCTCCACTCTCCGCTACCCCTTTGCAGTTCTCTTCTTTGGGGTACGGCGACAATTCATCAAACAGCAAGACAGAAAATGAGCAACGGGGGTCGCCCGGCCCGCGTCCACTGTTGACACTGACATACAGGTTGCCGCGTCGCCAACGTCGTCGTCGTGGTTGTCGTCTTCCCAGCACCATCTTCAGCTTCGACTCCTGCTCCTGCTTCTGCCCCCAACTCTCCTTCAAACTCCACTCCTACTGAGTGATGACCGCGACAATGGCTAAAACCGAAAGCCCAGAGACGGTGCGATCAAAACTTCCTGGAAATTAATTAAAGATCTAACTGCTGGATGGCAGCACTTAAAGAAATTTGAGCAGTGTTTGAACAATGGTAATTAATGGTAATGGGTGGGTATGCCTGTGGAGAGATTTTGCTTAGATTTTGCTATGATTTGATAGAGATTTGTATAAATAATTAAATATTTAAAGCGTAGAATCAGCAGAAAATGAGTTTTAATGAGGCAAGTGTACTTTTGAAAGGCATTAAAATTTATTTTTCTAAGATTTTATGGAATTCCCATTTACAGAAGAAAAACTGAAGGAAATGGATGAAATTTAGATTTGAATTTTGGAATTTAAATATCCTTGGAATTGCTATATACTCGTATTAGTCCAATACATATACTCTATAAACTACGCTCTTCTCTACGGCTTATTTCTCTCTCTGTGTGGGAACCCCAACCCCCTCCTCTGCTTTGGAGCTTCATTCTCCAAGGCGGCTCTAACGAAGAGGCCAGGGTCTGGGGTCTGGTCTTGTGGTCTGGTCTGCTCAATAATTATCGACGCTTATCAAAGACACCGTTACAGATGCTCGCACATGGAAACTGAGCAGAAGGAGAAGGAGGAGACAGGAGACTGAAGGTGGCAGGAGGCCAGTGGCCGTAGACGATGGCTGAGGCCAAAGTCAACAGCCAACAGGCCACCCCAAGTATGGTCACTGGACACTGGACACTCGACTGGACACTGGACATGTGGCATAGACTGGAATGCAGTGACTGGGAGACGCTTTCTGGATGCTAGATGTTGCTCCTGGAGAGGCTTTGGCGGTTGCTGCTGCTGCTGCTGTGGCATCTCTTTCGCTCTCTCTCACTCTACCCGAAGCCTTTGTTCATTTCGGTGCGGTGCAATTAATATTCAACGCCGTTGGCTGATCATAATTTACGTGCTGAGTTTACGATGCGACTCCGACTGCTGCCTGTTGCTGCCTTTTGCTGCCTTTTGCTGTCTTTTGCTAGCTGCCTGCAGTCAGCCAGTGGGGAGATGTTTTTTGGGGGTTGGGAGAGGAGGCGTTGCCACCGCCTGCAAAACGGGGCGTTTATCCATGGGAGCAGGCAGAGAAGGCTAGAGAAATAGCTCGACGAAAGGGCATACACGTGTGCCTCCTGCCTCCGCCTGACGACAATCTTTGATGCCACATGCGTTCACATTCACCCCTGCCTGCCTGCCCCCCATGCCCTAGGGCTGTGGAATTAATTCCCCGACTATTTACCCATATATCAAATTTTGTTGAACTGCTCGACCCCTCGGGCGGTTGCGAGATGCGATGCGAGTCAATAAAAGTCATTTGAATGGTCATTCGAATGCTTTTGGGTATTCAATTGAATTTTCGATAATTGACAAACATTTTGGCAAGACAATAATTCCTACATCGTTGCCTTCGAGAGATAGAGAGAGAATTGAGCTCTGTTGATTAATTTGTGGCCAAGAAAGGAAGTTTCGGGATCTAAAGAAAGCTTCAGGGTAACGGGGAAAGCAATGGAGAAGGATTCTCGATCAATATAGAAAGGGTTTCCTTTCTTCCATCAACATCTCTTTCAAGAAGTTATCTTGCCAACATAATCGATCAATCGCTTCTCTATTTTCTACCATCTTTAACTGAATAAAACCATCCAGAAGTTTTCACTCTTTAAAGCTGCATCTTTTGGAAACACCTCTGCAGCTGCATCTGCATCTACAGCTCAGAGAGTCCATTGAGATGGCTTTCTCTAGCCATCAGACACTCAAGAGGCTATCGATGGGTGCCACTGAGGAAGCAGGCAACGATGAGAAGTTCCATTTCCACCATCCAAAAGTTTCATCTTTCTCCATCTCCATCTGCAGAAAACGCTGATGGGCTCTGCATCTTAAGAAATCATTCAGAAAATTGCATCTCCATTGAAGAATCGATTGAGCTGGGCATCTGAGAAAGTCATCGAGGAGTTCTCTCTGCATCTGCAACACTTGAAACCTCGCTCTGACTCCATGTGCATCTCTCAGAAAAAGAAACCTTGCAGAAGTTGCAGTCTCTCTGATGAAAGCAAAGCCATCGATGCAGTGGGCCCACCCACCGTCAAGTTATCCGTCAGATGTTGTTGGCCCATTTATGAGGACACCGAAATAAGGTTAAGAGTGACACCCAAGAGACCTACATACGGCAGAGTGGATGCGGAATATCTGAATCTCGAGACTGATTTGCATTTCGTCGGCCTAACGACTTGAGGCTGCTTGCCACAGATTCAGAGGCAGAACAGAAACAGAGCTACGGTCTTCGGTCTGTTGCAGGGCGCATTGGCTTATAGGACAGTCATTTAGTTGGTCGGGTCTGGCAGTCTGTCTGCCAGTTGGCTCTCTGGCAGTTGCATTTCACATGGATTTATGCAAGCCATTCGCACCGCTTTGCCATTTCATTTTTTATTTTGGTTTTTGGTTTTGGTTTCTGATTCTTTGTTGTTGCAGCTATCAAAAAATGATCGTTTTGGGCCCCGAATCTGGGTCTTTGGGCAGACAAGAGGCAGCCAGGCAGGAGAGTCATTAAAATATATGACACCCACAGATCCGCAGATGTATCTTTGGCTCTCCCTCTGTGCCTCTCACCTGTTCGATCTCTCTCTCTCTCTCTCTCTCTCTCTCTCTCTCTCTCTCTCTCTCTCTCTCACACGTGCCTTCCCTTTCCCCTTCTCTATCTGTTTCATCGTTGGTTGTGCCGTCGCTGCTGAGGTTTCTTTAGTGTGCTGCTTCGCTTTCTTCGTGTGGGGTCCAATTAATTTTTTGAGGATAGAGCAATCAACAAGTTTTCTTCGGTTTCGGCACTCAAAAGTGGTTCCTCCACGATTCCGCGGGTTGCCGCTGCTGCTGTTGTTGCTGTTTCTGCTGCCTTTATGGCTGTTGTTCAACATGTTGCAGGTCAATTTGTTGCCTTTCGTTGTCCTCTCCACAAGAGTGAGAAGAAACCCAAAAATCCATAAACAAAAAGTGTAGTATATTTCGACTAGAAGATGCCCCGTAAATAGGAGAAATTGGTTCGAATTATACGAACAGAGAGATTCATTTTGGATTAATAGGTGCAGGCATATGTTTTATTGATTTATATTATAATATTTATCGAATTTGAGTTATTTTTAGGGGATCTTTACCCCAAGTAGATGCCACATAAATCAAGAATTTTCATTCAGGACGAAGATTGAAATAGCTGGAGATGGTTCTCTAGCCCTCTATTATTTTTAATCTGATGATTTTTTCTTATTCAAACAACACATAACAAATAACCCCACTCTAACCCCATTCGTACCCTGTAAAGCAAAGACAAAATACCCTGTGTGACGGCAGGGTTCTTGATACGATGTGTGTGGTCCTCCACTTAGAAGAGACACAGAAGAGTTCTCTCCCTTTCCCCTCTCGTTGATCAATTAGGAGTGGAGTTCTCTTCAACTACCCCTCTCTCTCTCTCTCTCTCTCTCTATCTCGTTTAGTCTGTTTTGTAATCATAATCATTAATTAGTTAGTCGTTGGCCCGTGACTGCCCATTGACACTTTTTCTGCTTCCCAAACAAGCAATTTTCCTTTTTTGGGGCTGCTCTCCTTATTTGCAGTTTTCACAATTGCATTTTCGCTTTGGTTTTTCCAAAGAAACTCACACGTTTCCTTTGACTTTTCTTTAATTAATTCTGATGCCACATGCCACACACAAACACAGGCACACACAGATACAGAGAGACTCGACACCCGCGCCATGTGCCTCTTGGCCTCCTGCCACGCTTTTGTTAGCCCAAATTTCGAGTTGAGCTAATTAGGAAAGTGTGCCTGACTACTCGTACGAGTGAGTACGAGTACCGACTCCAGGGGTCGCGACACAGTATGTGGCATGCCACGAAGATGTGGTGCTGCAGCTGCATATGCAAATTGGCCAAGACAAGAGCATATGTATTTTAGCCAACATTGCGGAAGGAAGGAAAGAAGGAAACACTAGGCCACAGCCGCTTGATAATGATGTTAACCGCATGTCAATGGCTTAACTAATGGTTGAAATTAGTTGCGGAACAGCGAGGATGCAAAATGCTGCCATAAAATGAACTCTTTTTTTTTGTGGGTTACAGAACCCCCCAACCGAATCCATGCCAACCCATCCCATCCCAGCCCATCTGATGCACAGATCCCCGACTGTCAACTCGCGTTTCGTATCTCATGAAATGGAAACAACGCGCCGCCGGATGCGCGAGTGTGTTAGATTTTTCAATGCAAGTGCAATGAGAACGTAAATGTTGCTCACACACACACACACTTGCCACACGGAGCTCCACAGTGCAGATTGGGGCAGGTCCATAGAACAGGAAGAATGGTCTGGGCCATAACATATATCTATGTAAATGCCGACAACAACGAGAGGTGTACGATGGAATGTATTTGGGGGCCCAGGCCCAGGCTCAGGCTCAGCAGAGCGACGAACCAGCATGCTGCCGCAGCGACGGCGAGCGGCAAAATAGTTTTGCAAATTTTATGCAGTGGCATCAGGGGAAGGAGAAGGGGAAGAAGCAGCAGCGGGTGCTGTGTGAGCACTGCGAGCGACAACTCCCGCTCGCATTTGGGGGGGACATGTTGTTCACTTCAGCCGTAAGAAAAATAAAATGAAATAAAACACTTTTACTCCCGCGCTCCCCAAGTGTCGACACGTTTGGGAAAATAAATGCAACCTGCAAATACAGTGAACATCCCAGTAGGAGTACTTAACGAGAGTATAGCGACTAAAGGATATCCTCTAATGGTGGGAAAATTATGGAAAAGGAGCCAAAAATAGTGCCCGAATCTCCTTCTACCCAATGGTAGAATTACACAAATCTAAGCCTCCTATTCCCTACTAATTGCATACCTTCCCGAAAAACACATCATACCGATATGTATCCCTACAAATTCTAGGGTACAAACAGTAGAAAATAATCAAGGTTTGCTGCAGTTGCCGCCGCCGTTGCCGCTTTGGAATAAATTTTGCGATGTTGTTACAATTTCTTCTGTTCTGTTGGCAGCATAAATTAGGTAGATGCAGCACGAGCAGCAGCAGGTTCCCATCGTGCCACAGTTCCTCCTGGAAGCTGTACGCATCC